AAGTAAATTTAGTCAAAATATGAACTTTAAATACTTATCCAAAAAAAATGCACCTACGAATCTTTAATATATTTTATCACCTGGTATTATAACAACTTTTAAGGAACCTTGATTCAATTTTCAAGCTTTTTAACCCAATGAATAAAATTGTATTTACATTCATAGAATAAAAAAAAGAGACACATAAGAGTTACACTAAAAAAACAAAATCGAGTTTCTTGTAAAACTGGTTTTGCGTAAAAATCTCAGTTTTTCCTTAACTTTTTGTTTTTTTTTCCTGACGTTTTTCCCGTTTATCTTTAATTCATATGTTGTTTTTCTCGGCGCTTTTGAAAACTATGGGGAATTTTAAAATCTGACCTCCCAATTCATCAACTAGATTCACTTTTTTTGTTCGATGGAACAAGATGCTGTTGAAAAAAATCGAAGCAGTTTTACTACCCCAAACCGTGATAACAGACACAAAAAAAAAAATAAAAATTAAAAAAAAAACACATATCATTGTAAAATCAATACATTCATCGTTCCACTCAGAATCTAAAATGTATCGTCACAGGATAAACCTTAAATGGTGTAAAAAGTACATAAGTGTTGGAAAATATTGTTCTTAAGATGAATACTTAAAAGTTTTTAAAGGCAGAATTCGAATTATTATTATTAAAAGAAAAAAACGAGGTGAACATGCTTGGTAAATCGTTCTGGATGTAATATAAAATGCATATACAGGATGATTCACCAAGAATGCTCTTCACCATTTTTTCTTTTAACAATAAATTTATTCAATAATATAATCAAATATCATATTATTATAGAAATTCTTGTATTTTTTGTACAATTTAAGGAGTATTTTTTTAATAACCCCTTTTTTACCTTAAATTATTTAGTGAATATTTTTTTTGAAAATTTTGATCAACCTGCCAAATTTAAAATTTGAGTTTCTTAGTTATTAAAATATTTATACTAATGATAACAGTTCTTAAAAATGTTTTTACAAAAACATAAAATAGACTTAATATTGAACCTAGTATCTATTGTACTTGGCCCATTTTTACAAATTATTAATGTTGATAGATTAGTATTAGGTAATCACTACAAATTTCAAATCATCATATATCTCACAAACCCATTCATTCTGTTCTATCCTGCGATTATGCGTAGGGAAAGTGATGATAATATGATATCAATAAAAACATACCACGTAATTGTACTTAATGTTCGAGCACCGAACAAAGACTGCTTTATTATCTACATAATCGTAATCGTCGTGAGCCGGTCGGTGGGGACCGGGCTCTTACATGACCAACTTAATACTAATCATAACCGGTATATTGTGGGTATTTACCAATATACCACACATTCTATGGACCTATTATTGACCCTTGGACTAAAAAATCATCAGCTAAATAATTTACAGTAGAAAAGGGGGTTCTAATTTGGAAATCGGAAGTTTGTACATCTATATTCTATAGGACACTCCTTGAGTAGTACAAAAATCTCAAATTTTCAAAATATGGTCTTTAATTATATTTAAAAATTCCAAAAATCAGATTGTGAATAACTGTATTACTGCAGAAGGAACAAAAGTGGTGAGAATGCTTGGCGAACCACTCTGTATATAATATATACTTGTACACGTGACTGGTTTTCCGTGTCATATCTAAAAATAATAGTGAGTATTTTATTTTAAATGAAAAGATATAATGGTTCAACGTTTATTTAGAACTGTATTATTATCCCATTAAATATTGATTTGTTACTGTAATAAAGAAATAAAAGTAAAGTTTGTATAACATAATTTAAATTTAAATCAAACTGAGGAAATAATAGCTACCTGCTACTATCTTCAAGTCATTATTAATATTAGAAAACATGAATTCGGTTTTGATCGCAATGCAATAACACATTGAGTCCACATTGAAAAATAATAAAATGATCATAGTCTTTTTGTGCCAATAAAATTAATAATAATACCTATACTGTAACAGTGGTTGTTTAAAGGCAGTTTCGTGCAACGATAAAACGATGATGTGTTCAGCAGCATTAAATTCATAAAGTAGGTATTAATAAAATATTATTTTTTTTTTACGACTCATGAATTATGATATGTACATTGGATTAATAACACCGAAAACAATCGAAAGAATCGTTGAATAATTATTTCATCGAAAATCGATGGTTTCGGACAAAATATGCCACTTGACACTTACATACTTACATAGTTCTCTACATAATATTATATCGTATAATAATAAAATTAATTGTAACGAGTTTTTTTTCGTCACACGGCGTAATGCATAGTCAAACTCGGTGCACTCGCGTCGGCGAGGTCGGACCGATGCGTGTCATATTACAATTAAATTGTGTGCCTATATAGTACATACTACATCGGTATAATAATACACCTGCCTAATAATATTTTTATTAGGGTACGGGTTTTTACGTAATAAAATGTCAAAATATGTTTAGGTTGTTACTTTTGCCAAAATATGTATTGACAAAAAGTGTTTACGAAACATTAATTTTGTATAATATTTTAATCGTATAAAAAAGAAAAGGCGTGGGTAAATAATATAAACAATTAATCGACTTTAGTCACTGGAGTACTAGATTGTAAGATATAATTGTGGTGACATAAAAAATACGTATATTTATTTCCCACAGAATATTATGATTATATTATATATGCCTATATTGTCGATATATTATGTCTGTGGATGGGTAAACAATATAAAAACGCAAAACATTTAACGAAAAATGAATTCGTATTGATTAAATATTTAAAAATAATTTATTGTGTACGGTTATGAACGACAATAAAAATTAACGGACCGATAATAACGTCCGACGGAGCACACTTGCGAGCCCGTACCGTATAATATTATATAGCAAATTATGGTCTCGAGGACTGTGACAAAACGACCGAGGTAAAAAAATACATTTTGTACCTACTTTTGCACAATATTATGTAGTGTACGGTGAAACCTACGCTCTCGCGAAATAGAAAACTCATCAATGGGCACACAGCAGATCGTATAGGTGTACATAACAGTGTAGTGGGTGTAGAGGTACTCGCGTGGAGGTTCGTTCGTTCAAAGGGCCTTTTCGTTTTCGCCGAAAAATAATATTATCTATATATTACGTTATTACATAGTAGTTTACGGTATTTACGCGAGCGCCGCCGCAGATGATGCGATTTTCGTTTGGGGGGGGGGGGGGTGGGGTTGAACGGGAGGATTGTCGTCTCCATTAATGGCAGCGGAGGATCGTCCGTTTCGCGGCGGCTACTATATTATGCGTATATCGTAATAATACAACCGCCACTGGAGTCGCGGGCGCATGCGCACAATATCATTGACACTGCTGCTGCTGCTTCTGCTGCTGCTGCTGCTGCCACTGCCGTGACGTCACGCAGCCCATGTGTGTATACAGGGTAGTTCGCCGACCGAGCTCACCTCCACCCGATTTTTTTAGTCTCTTTGATTATAATTATTGTATGTGAGTGTGTGGGAATTTAGGGAATGTTTTTCCGCCTCGGCTATTGTATAAATATATTTTTGAACATTTCATCATAAATACGCTACATGTTCTATTATATACCGACGCGTTTGAGGAGTGCTGCAGCTTTCTTGTACCGGACACCGTCCTTTTATTGTCCAACCGCTAGAAGTGCCTCTAACAATATTATTACTGTGAACCGCTTAACGGATAATTTTTTTCGTCCTGTCGTTTAAGCCCATTGAGATTGCAATTTGACCGAGTTTGGGTTTCAATGCCCTGCTCGACGCCCTATATATAATATAATATAATATTATATTATTTCTGCAATCAGTCATGTATTTAATCGAGTAGACCTATACAGCTTTATTCCTCTTCAAATTTTAGTTTTTTTTTTTTTCAAACATATGCATATAAAATGAATCACATCTGCTCGAGAATTCGCAGTGAAAAGGGGAGGGGAGTGCTCATTTGTGGAATAAAAATTTAATAACGCCACTGCTGGAAACGACAACCACTTAAAGTTTAAACTCCACGAAGAATCTATATAAGCGCTTGACAATGTGGTGTGGTCTCCAAACAGCGTATACCTGCAGCTATGAAAAAATCCAAAAACATTTATCAATATATTAACTGCACCGCATGTTATAGCCAAATATACGTAACGACATAACGGGGCACGAACGTGTGTTCGTCGAATCACCCTGTGTACACATTATGTACATATTACATTATATTATGTATACGCCGTTGACCGGGTCGACCGGGCGGCGGAGTCGGGTGTTCCGGCGTACCCGTTTAACCCCCGTTTCATTCCAACCCCCGACCACCCACACACGTTTGCACCCCCGCGTCCACTGACGCCTCCGACTACGTCTTTGTATTGATCAACCGATGCGCGACGTACACACACGGGCGACGCAAACGTTAAACGCGAAAAGAGAGGAAAAAATCTAAAATAATAATAATGAAATAAAATTCGTCGGCAACCCCCGAACTAGGACGACGACGACCGCCGACACCGCCACCGCCACCGCCAACGCGTCGTGCGTGCGAAATTATTACTACTATTATTGTTACTATTACTATTATTACTACCGTCGTTGCAGTTACATTATTATTTCTGTTTATTTATTTGGAAATTTTATTTTAAACATCACGCGCGAGTCCGAGCGTACGGTCGAACAACACGTCCAAGACACGTATATTATATTGTTGTGTTAATATTAATATACAGAGTACGAGTGCACCACACACGCCTGCTGAAGGGGGCGAGCGAATCGTCTGATACACGTATATATATATCTGTAGCAACACCTAATAATATACTGATCGTATAATTGTTGTTATTTATACGAGCGCACGCGATCCCCATTCAACGGCGGCGCGACGGAGAAAACATAATATTATTATTATAATAATATCGTCGCCGTAATATCGGCCACCAGCGTTCGATCCGCGCGCGCCCAGTCCGCGCGCCCGTCCTCGTCGCGCAGTCACATCCGTCACCGCGGCGTGCACCGTACTCGTCGCGTGTCCGTCCGTCCGTTGTCTCGCCGCGCGCCGATCACAACTACTGCGCTCGGGGTTATGGACGTGGCGGCGTTGGCCGCGGCGACCGAGACGACGACCGAGACGACCAACTCCGCGGCCACCGCGGCAGCTGCTGGTACGGCGGACTTGGGCACGGCAGATACGACGAATACTACGAGAGCGACGACGGCAGTGATAGCGACAGCGTACACGAACATTTTCGATTGTAATAATACGACCGCGCTACGCCCACCCAAGGTTCGCGTCAGATCGTCGTCTTAAGAGGACTCGAGAGGGGCCGCAGAGCCAAGACGTGATCGCAGGTCAGTAGGTAACATTATGATAGTAATATTATTATTCTGCGTATTATATACGAGGTAGATGTGAAGAGAGTTGTAGTCCAAGCTTTTATCTGCCCAGCGCCTAGGAAGTAGAAAAAAAACAACAGTTTTACGACACCAGAAGCGGCTATAGGGGGGGGGGTGACCCCGAGTCGGGGCCTAAAATAAAATTTCGGGTTCAATTACAACGTACGTCTTACTTTATGTATGCCCCTCCCCCGCACCAATAAATGTAATTGGCCCATAATAGTAAAAATAATCGTTCCTACATACGCCACCCTATCACATAGCCCACACATAGCCGATCACCGGATCATCACGCCCACCATAAGATAAGTGCATGATATGTGGGACCCAAAATACGCGATTTTCGACGATGTCGTATTATCGACGGTGTATATAATTGTTATTTGGCGATAAAACAACGACGTGTACGTTATATTCTAATATAAACCGTAATACGAAAACAGTGGACCGAAAATAGGTAAACGCTACTATTAATATTATTATATTTTGCCTATTTTCCATACATAATATTAAATAATTGTATGCTGCGAAAACGATCGATACACATGTGCATGCACTATATAATAATATAATATAGCTGTGTGTGTGTGTGGCGCTCAAAGTATGTTTCGCGTACATACTACGCGGTATACACTATACCTATATAATATCGTTATGTGTGTGTGTGTGTGTGTTATTACTCTGCAATACGTCACGTATGGTAATGACCATGTGCACGTTCACTGTGCGTACTTTGAATGGGTATCGTGTGATTTACGGCCGACGAACACGAAAATGACAAATTTCGTCGATCGACCACCGCAGCAGGTATACCATACTGTATATGTATTATATTATTAATGTGCAGTGACATTATGTTATATTATGCAAGTTTACCTACGGAATGCAGTTGCAGGAATGACTATATATACAGACGGTTGTAGTTACATCTCGTGAGCCTTTGGAGTAACTGCAGCGGTTTTGCAGATATAATATAATAGACGCATATAATACCCTCGTGGTATTTGTTGACGGCCAAATATTAAATAATAAACCGCGTATAGACGATTCCGAATGATTAATGGCCGTGCAGCATGACGTGCGCATATTTTATTATTTTAGGTCGTCTGGCTGAGTGAATTCACGGGGTTAGGTTTAGGGGTACGGTATGATCTTAGAAATATTATAATTTCGAGGATCTCACGATTTTACATTTTATATCGTAATACGTGAAACGCAAATTATTATCATCATGCGCAATGCACACTACATTAAATAATATATTATTGTTTAATGATATAAATGCTGATTGTATAGAGTTATGTTCGGACCATAAAAAATAGAAATAACTATGCCTTATCAGGCGTATACAACTTTATGAACCATTGACAAGGGACATGCATTTTTTTAATTTGGTATTTTGGTGACCTACATTTTTGTTTATTTATTTTATGCGCCGTCTGTAACCTATTTAAAAGGTTGACGGATTTTGATGAAAGTTTACCTGGATAGTTGAATGAATAGGTTTACGAGTGGGTGGGTTACTGGAAAACAACAAACTGCAAACTTTCAATACATTCTTTGCCAACAAAAAGAAAAAAAGACGCTTCTAGACTTTATAGTGGAATATTTTCTGGCTTACCCTTTGTTTTCTGCGAGTGGCTCCGGTCGTCTGTCAATAAAGTAATTTAGTCGCCTTAACCTAAACGATTTGCAGTTCTTTATTTCAAATTTAATTATTTCATTTATTTAAACGTTGAACAATTAAGATTCACTCGACAATTTCTTGTCATCTTTAAAAAAATACGTTAATTTTTATACATTAGGCAGTTCTTAAAAATATTTTAGACTGAGCGGAACGATGAATCTATTGATTTTACAATGATGTGTGTGTTTTTTTTTTTTTTTTTTTTGTGTGTGTACGCGATTAGTAGTGGAAATAATGCTTCGATTTTCAACTTCAGTATCTTGTTCGATGGGAAAGCGAATCTAGTTGGTACATTTGGGAGGTTAAAGTTTAAAATTCTCAATAGTTTTCAAAATCGAAGTTGCCTTCAAACAAAATAAAAATTAAGGAAAAACGGGAAATCGATACCAAAATCGATTTTGGCTTTTGGTGTAACTTTAAAACAAATGCCCAATAGATACATTAATTTTCACCGGTTGTTTATATTTGCATTGTCTATACACTATAAAATTTTCAAAATATCTTCATTTATTTTGAACTGTTTAGGGACATTTTCAGTTTCCAATTTTATTAGTTTTTTTTTCTATGAATGTCAATAAAACTTTATTTTTTGAGCAAAAATACTTGAAAATTCAATAAAAGGCTTCCACTATGTTGTTACATTGACATTTGAAAAATATTAAAAATCCTTAGTCCCAGTTTTTTTTTTATAAGCATTTATAGTTCAAATCTTGGCAAAACATGGAAAAATCACGAAAATGATTAAATTATTTTGAGTTAAGAATTAATAAAAATTTTTTTTTTTAATCTAAGAAATGAAAATGTAATATAAGATTCCTTATAAGTTTGTCTACTTTTATCAAAAAAAAAAAAATGTCCTTAAGAAAGTCAAACTAAATTTTTATGAGAGTTTGAAATTCAAATCTTTACATCATTGGATATTCACTCGATTTCTCATGTAGGGATTTTCTTATTTTGTTGTAATTCAAAAACGAATAACTGTAGATACGTGAAAATTTCACTGAATGTTTATTTTATCAATTCTTATAGTTGATAACATTTTGATTTGTTTTGAGCTTTTTAAGGTCAATTTCATATTTCAATTTGTTTTTTTTTTCTATGAATATCAATAAAATTTTATCTGTTGGGTCAAAAAGTGTAAAAATTTAACCCAAAGCTCCTAATATATTGTTACAATAGCAGTTGAAAAATATTAAAAATACATAGGCACAATTTTTTTTATAAGCATTTAAAGATCAAATTTTGTCAAAATTTATCAAATTTAAAATTGAATAATTATTTTGTAGTTAAACATTTATAAAATGTTCAACTTTTATATCTATGGATTGAAAATTTAAAACAAAATTCCACGTAAGTAGTTTATTCTGTTACTAAAAAATCTAAAAATACATAAGCACAGTTTATTTTTATAGCAATTTTAAATTCAATTTAGGACGAAATCACATATTAAAAAATCTAGAATAACTTTTTTAGTTATTTTGTTGTGATTGTATAATATTATTCGTGGGTACTTGAAACTTCTTAAGTATACTACTATATATATCTATGATAGTATCACGGTTTGTTATTGATGTATAACGCGTTATAAGTACCTAATGGATATTGTGATATGATGAATTTGGAATTTATTTTAGGTAACTATTATAGGTCAATTTTTTTTTTTAATACCATAGATATGTATGTATATAATATATCTTATACCTAGACTGACTACCGTCTCCACTCAGAATCGTTTTTATTATACAATGATATTATATCATTGAATACAAATTTAATACCATCCATTATACAGTGACCCACTTATAACCTACTGCACAGCAGAGCACCTTTTTTTTAGTCTATAATCGATATACAAGTTTAAAGTAATATTGTGCTGTTTTATTTACATTAAATAATTATAATAAATATATTACTATTAAATTTCCCCTTTTATCATTGCAGGTGATAGATTGATACACATAAAATGTCTATAATCGTTATAATTGAAATTTACTTTGAACACTGGGAATCGATATCAAATTCGAAATGTATTTTATTAAATTAAATTTATTAAAAGTTTTTAACAGGAAGTTTAACGGAAATAATTTTTGTATTTTAACTATTATAGTGTATAATATAAGTGTTTGGAAGGAACTTGCTTAAAGAACTTGTTCCAGTGATTTCGTTCAATTTCAAAGGAAAATAAACGATTTTATTTGTTCTTTTTTCGTTAATTTATTCTCAAGTATAAATATAATTATTTAAATAATTAAAGAAATTAAAAGTTTTTAAAATTTTTTTTTAGAAATTAAGTCAATATAATGGGCTTTATAATTAAACTTATATACGTAAGACAATATACGAAAATATTTACCATGTTTACAAAATGTAAAATCAGTCACTGTAGTTTTAAAGGTCTTAACTTGTATGAAATAAAAAATTAAACATTTTAAAAACAAAATAACTACATAATTAAACAATTTATTACAACCTACAAATTATACAATTATATTTTACTGTGGAACGAACAATTTTCTTTATTTAGGAACGAGGAACAAGTTTCTTTTTTTAAGCCAGAAAAACGATTTAGTTCTTTGTCAACAAGATGAACCTCAACAAGAACTAATTCCTTCTTTAAAGGAATTTTACAAGGACTGTATAATAGTTCCTCGTTTATCAAAGTCATTTCATATTCCCCAATTTAAAATCGATACGATTACGGATACAAAACAACAATGCGACGCTTAATGTCTATCGCTAAAAAAGTTTCAACATTTCTTGTTTAATCATTTTCATTTTTTTTTTAATTCTTTATAATTTTGTATTTTATTTAACATTATAAATATTTTTATTATTATGTTCACCGAAGTACCTATTTTGTATTCAAAGATTGTGAAAGCCTGTTAATTATTAAAATAATAAAATATAAAATATAGGTATACAATATATATATTTTATATATCATACATCGGTAATTTTTAAATTGCAGCCACACTTAATCTATTGGTTATTTAGGAAATAAATAAACTTTATACATTTTAGATTCTGAGTGGAACGATGTTTATTTTTGAAACTGATACAGAATTAATAAATGTTTTTGTTGTATAAAAGAAAAACAATTTAATGTAATGGAACAAGAGATTTATTTTAAATAAATCATCCAACTGACTTTTACTACTACAGTTGGAAGAATTTTAAACACATTGATAAAGAAAGAGAATTATTTTTGATTACTACTTAATATGAAAATTAAATTGAAGAACCATAAAACTTTATAACCTATTTTAATCTTACTGAACATTATTTATTAGTAATTAGTCATTTATTTTTCTCATTGCCTATACAAAATTGGCAAAAATAAGAACATCATTTTTTTTAAAAAATTATATTTATTTTGAAACTGTATAATAGATTTGGTTTAATATAGATACATGTTTAATAAATCAAGAATAAAAAGCAGCCATTTAGTATTGCATCATTATTATTCATAGTATAGTGTAACTATTATAATTAAAGAATTTAATACATTGTAAAATGTAAAATATTTCAATGAATGTGTAGCTTTTTAGAATTGTTCAATTTGAATAATAAACTGTGAAAATAGGTTTAGAAGTAGGTTCCTACCTAAATAAATACTGATGATTGATGACATTATTTATAGTTATATACTTATATAATATTGATGTATATATTATATAATATAGGTATCTATTTAAAGTCCTTTGTATAAATTTTTTTTCGATTATGCCCCAATTATTTTTATTTATGTATACAATAATTGCGTTAATGAATCATAAAAAGGAGAAATTATTAAATGAGAATAATAATAACTTTTACCAACAAAATAATTCTTTTATGGTAGGTATTTTCTCGAGTTCAATATTCAATCAAAACGATTTTTTACTTTAATCCTTCTTTTCAACTGTTTTTTATTAGTTGTGTTTTAATAAATTATATTTTTTATCAGAGATAAATACCGAGATAATTTGCTCCATTGTTAAATTTTGTTTAAAGTTTGTTATTATTTCTTTTACAAAGGAAAAAAAATATAAAAATTAAAATCAAGCTAAATATCTCTTTGAAAATGAGTATATTTCTTAAAGTTGCGTAGGTATAAAAAAGTACGAGTCAAAACTTTAAAATAAGAATAAACAAATATTAATTAAACAATAATTTATATAAAAAAAAAACCATCATCAATAATGTAACATTTTTTTTATTAAATTATGAAATTATGCTTTTTATTGATTTGAAATTAACACTAATTGTGAGTATATTATCTAGGGAGTTAGATGTATACCAATTTTATAAAATCAAATATGATTATCAACTATTTTTGTTTTTATTAATTTAAAAAAAAATTACGACAGAAAAATAAAATTCTAAGTGAGGAGTACTCATAATATATTGTGTACTTCGTAGTATTGCACTGCTCATAATAAACCTATAACCGCTAATTTAATTTTTATTTGATTGATAATATTTCTACGTATCTAGATACGATGTGTGTATATTTGTTTAATGTTTATATTTTAAATCAGCGAAAAAATATGTATACTGCTGTAATTTGTATATGTATTTGTGCTTTGTTTAGATTAGCATAAGTGCATAAGTCTTTAGTACATATTATAAACATTTATATCTTAAGGCGATGTCATTAATCTTAAAGCTTGAAGTCTACATTATAATTGAAAATTGGAAACTGATTTCACTGCACGGAAATTACACGATTTTTGGGTTCAACCGTGAGATACATAGAACTCACCGGAAACGTCAAGTTTGAACAAGTACCTACCTATCTATCGTTATTCTTATATCGATGTACAATGTACTTGAAGGTATGCCTTTACACCATTATGCCGTCTACAGTAGTTGTACAATTCAAAGTAAAACAATAAAACTTGGTAAACGTGGTTAATCCATATTAGGTACCTATATAAGGTTAGATATTGATCCAAACGTACGAATGGCGACCGTATCTGGTTTACTTGTAACCTTTTTTTCGTTCCTTAAAGTGAACTTAATATTTTGTTTTAAACAGTTTGGGTATGACACATTTAGGTGTAATGCTTATGCGTGGTATATTATTAATTACGACGGTTGGCGACTATAGTACGGACACTATAACATTGTAAACCTATAATCCATTTAATATAATCAATTTAGGTATAAGTGTCATTCTTAGTATATCGAATATTAAGAATCTGCATATTATTGGCACCGTATCCTAGGTCGGTTTCCTAATTTTAGATTTCACCATTCTTTTTGTAGACCTTTTTTCAATAAAATAATATACCTAATTTGTAATAATACGCATCTATGCCGTTAGTATAGAATACTGATATACGTCCTAGCACCACTGAATAATAATGTATCAATAAATTATTCGTATACAGAGTGATTCATCAAACCTATTTTTTTCTTCAATAATGAATTTATTAAAATTCTGATTTTTGTTATTTTGAAATATGCTTAAAGACCATATTATTTTTTAATTCACGAGGTTTTTTCTACTAGTTGAGGAGTGCCATTTAGTGGTACAAATATTTGTTTTCCATTTGAGAAACCCTTTTTTCACTGTAAATTATTTAGTGAAATATTTTTTTGAAAGTTTTGATGTGCCAAATTCAAAATTCGAACGAGCAGGTAATTCCTAAAATAAATTCTTAAAATGTTTATACTAAGGATATTAGTCCTTTAAAACGAATGGTCCTTGTTTGAAAAACAGAAGTTGTATCCCCGCAGGAACACCCCCAAAGTAGTACATTGTACATACAAATAATATATCGACAATTTTAAAATATGTTCTAAAAACTAAAAGTATAGGTACTAAAAAAATACAAAAACCGTAATCATAGGTACTTGGGTCGAATCGCCCTGTAAGGGCCGTTATTACGCAATGTCCGGTTAAACAGACACTTTACAGGGCATAGTAAGAACGGCAGGGACGACTACGGGTCAATTCCATGGGAGGGGCGAAAACATTTTAGTCTTGAATATCGCATTGCTAATCAAAAACTTAACATCTGTGTGTTTAAATAATCTATATGTTTGTTGTTTGTGTCCATGGTCTGTATAATCAGTATACAAATAATTAACTGATTTTATAAAATGTTTTTATATATTAGCAAAAACAGAACATCTCACGTCTTATGGAGGGGGTGGTCGCCCCCTTCGCCCCCCCCCCCCTTAGGAAGGCCCCTGAAGAACGGCCCTAAGGCCTAAATTGTTCATATTTTACGTACCTACCATAATATTATTAATTGATAACAAACAATAGTAACAATAATCACCGTATCATTTTATAGGTCCAGCACGCGTATTATCGTCTGCAACTGCAGGAGCAGTGTAATAGCCGCGACACAACGTCGTAATGCCGGAACAGAGCAACGATTACCGTGTGGTGGTTTTCGGGGCGGGCGGCGTTGGAAAGAGCTCGCTAGTGCTCAGGTTCGTCAAGGGCACATTCCGCGAGTCGTACATACCGACCATCGAGGACACGTACCGGCAGGTGATCAGCTGCAACAAGAACATCTGCACGCTGCAGATCACCGACACGACGGGGTCGCATCAGTTCCCCGCCATGCAGCGGTTGTCCATGTCTAAGGGCCACGCGTTCATACTGGTGTACTCGTGCACGTCCAGACAGTCTCTCGAGGAACTCCGACCTATATGGCAGGTGCGTACACGGTGCTATTTGGTTATTGGTTGGTTACGTTATATCGCGGTCTGAGAATACACGGTGGCAAGGGTGCTCGCAGGGGAGGAGCCTATAATAGGGTCATTGCCCCCACAACCCGAGCTCTTGTCAACTCTAATTTAATAGCATACATCATATTTGTTTATCAGTGTGACATAATAATATATGAACAATAGGAATAAATAAAATAATCGTCGTATAAGGTAATAGAATAAATAATTATTACAACTAACATAAATAAATATTTTATTTAATGTTTAAGCAGATCAACACATTAAATATCACATCATTCGCATATTGCAATTTCAACATCCAAACAATTTAACCAGGCCATTGCCTCAAGGGTTATTGAAGTCCTACAAATCCCAATCCTTAGTTCAGTCCAAAATTAAGTGTGGCATCGACTGCAGTCGAATGCATGCACACCTGCGCCTCATTGTCTCAATCGCACTTCAGGCTGTCTCTAAATTATTTCAATTTGCAGTTCACGAGTTCGTTATATTTTCCTAGTCACACACGTATGCGGTTAGGTCTGACCCAGATTTTCCTAGAGAGGTCAATGCTCGAGACTGGAGTGCACACGTTATCTATATGGATGCTTCGGGTATCTTTCTGGTCCATTTATCCTACCACGCAACTGGGATAATCTTATTCCTTGACTCAGCGATAGTCAGAGATCTTTGTAAACACAACACTCGTGATTTGAGCCTCTGCAAGTTTAGTATTCTATCTTCGTGTAGGTATTGGCAGTTCTTGGTGTCCTTCAACTACACAAACCGCCAATACATGGAGATGGAATAGCAAACCAGAGGCTCAAACCTTAAATATTACATTACATTACATGGCATGTTGGCGTATCATTTAATTTATAAAATATTTCTAAAATAAAAATGTGGTAACAGTGATTACTCATATTAGAATAGATATATTAGTATAGAATACTATACTACAATTTATAATAATATATTAATTAGGCTATTGGTTTTGTAATCATGCCCCTAGTGAAATTTAATTCTGCCTCTGCGGGTGCTATTGGACCTTGGTTATGGGTGTGGCCGTTTGGGGCAGACAGATTTTGCCAAAATTTCAGATGTGACGGCGACGATGTGCATATTTTATTAGTATTAGTCAGTATAGATACATAATATTATAGTAACGACTAGAGGTAGGTACTCGCTGTATAAAAACACGAAGGAGGTGTGCAGCCGGCTTCCGTCTTAGGAAAACGTCGCCGACAATTTACCGATGATCAATCAGTTTTTCCGTCTTCGTCGGACGCCACTGAGTACATATTGGCACTTAACTAATAACATGGTCACAGACACCTACTAAGTCTCCGCCGGGGTCTCCGCAAGCTCCTTCCTTTTTTGATGATTGAAGTGATTTACATTTTAATACACAAACGGTAGACTTTAGACGTGGCTGATCAAAATTATCAAGGGTCTTCTATTTAGAGAATTCTGAACCATACAAATCTTCAGGTATACATAATAATATTATCTTCGAAATTATCACATCATTTATTCAAAATTATCACATCTTTGATATAGGCTCCTACCTATCGACCTGCCTACATAATATATGCACTAATAGCAGCCACGCAGCTGCAGGAGAGTGGTTTTTGTTTTTGCCTATACCGTTCTATCTGTGTATACAGATCGTATATGCGAAGTAGGTCAGACATATTCACTGGCTCGTTATATTAATATGCGCGATATCTATGTGAGTCTAATACACCATACTATAATGTTATACCGATCTTGGAAAGTCGGAAATGTTAGGTAAACCCATAGGTGTTAGATGATATTTGCCAGGGGGAGGGCTGAAGCCCTATTACATATTTTAAATGTGCTATTTCATGGAGGGGAAGGGGATGCTCTGAATTCACCAGATTCATGTTAATGATATTAATTTTTCAATGCAAAATTGTGGCTATGTATCGAGGAACATCGTATTACATTATTTTGACCCAAAGAAAATTTTTTTATCGACTTTTAAAAAAGAAGACTAAAAAAATGGAAAATGTCAAATGTCTGAAATAATTCAAAAAGCATAATTGAATATTATTCATGTATCTACGGTTATTTGTTTTTGAATTACACCGAAAAATAATTTTGATTTTGAAGAAACGTAACAATTTCAGTTTTTCTAATTATTGATAAAAGTACTGAGAATTACTTTTACCTCTCAAAAGTACCAGCTAAATCCAAATATCCAATTTTCTATCAGAAACCATATAGATACACCTACGAATAAACCTTACGTAAAGTGATACTCAATAGTATTATTATTCATTATTATACTAGCTTAGGTAGTTAGTAGGTATGTTATAATAATATAATAATACTATGTATTATGTTATACACTCACACACTGCAGTTCCGTCTTCGTGAATGTTAAGTAAACACTTTATAATATAGTACTACCTATAACCTATATATTCCCTCTTCACTGCCAACTCCTTGGCTTAATGATATATTCTTTACAATTTATATGTTATTTAATATGTTGTATATATATATTATTGTAAGAAATATTAACAAAAAAAAAATAATAATAATAATAATACCAACATCGGAATATCATTATAAGTTTCAATCATTACTTTTTCAAATAAGTACATTAATATAACTATAATTTTATAAAAATAGTAGATGACTTTAGGTCTAGGTACGTGACTTAAAATTAAATGTACACTACAATATTATGGATTATGGCGAATAGATTAATTTAATTTAAATTTTCACATTAGGTAGGTACTTGTGATATATATTGTTTATTTTTTTTTTTGGTTTCTTAATTTTTAGAATCTGATCTTATATTTTGATTGTGTACGTGTATAAGATAGTCGTGTCGCTAGGTTATTGGCCACGCCCTTAGGATAAAAATTAAAACCCCTTTAACGATTTGGTAATCGGAACATTGGTGCGGTCTATTGTCTTTTAAATAAAATAAATGAAATATTTAACAGGAGGAATATTGTAACTATTTAATTATTAGTAAATATTCAAGTAATATGGACGTATAATACCAGTATTCTATATTTACAGTGGTTCAAAAAATTTGACATCCAAAAATATTAAAATGTAATGAACTTGAATAATAATAATGATAGTTTTACACACAGATAAAACTAAAAACAATCAATGTAATCAATGTAGGTGTCAGGTAATTATAAAAACAATTCACAATAAAATTAATTCAATAATTCAATAGTTAACTCTAGGGGTATTAAAAAAGAAATCCATTGTTATTTGTTTATTCAACTAACTACTAACTAGTAATAATATGACAGAGTTTGTTTTGAACTAATTTGAAGTGAAATCGATATTTTATTTTCCTATAGGCGTTAAATTATGATCATACATCTCAGATTCATGACGTGTTCTTTCAATGTAGGTATATTCATCCTGTTTAATATAGGTAGGTACACAGTGCAGAAGTGAAGAACTAACCAAAATGATTGATCGTTATTGTTCTTACACATGAAATATGAGATATTGTACCTATCATAAATAAAATTCATGACGGAGACGTATACGAATTATTATTTTAGATTCTCTGCAGAGCAAAGAATGAATTCATTTTGCAATGATTTTTTTTTAAATTTATTTTTGTTGCTGAAGACACTTTATCTAGTAGAAAAAATGCTCCGATCATCAACTTCGAGAGAGGTTATTTGGTAGCAAATTAGATCTAGTTAGTACTTTAAGGAAGTCAAAATTGAAAATTTTCAGTATTTTTGAAAATAAAAGGGGGGGAAATAGGTTACCATTCTGATGTGTAGGTATAGGTGCAGTAGATATCGAGTGTACCTACCTCTATAGTCATTGGGTAAATCACTGTAAATTATGTGTTAAATATGAACTCAATGATAAATCATTGCATACAAAATTTGTTTCTGAGAAACATTTTGTCAGCCTATAGACGCAAAAAAAAATCGTGCCTATGTAATATTATGTATTTTTAGTATTTTTAAATAGCTATAATAACAGCTTATAAGGAATCTTGTATTAAATTGTTAAGCTTTTTGACGGTCCAAAAAATCTTATCGCCAATTATTGAAAAAAAATCGTACATTTTTCAAGCTTATAAATAGGTACCTCAGAAGAGACAAAATTATACCATGTATTGAAAATGTTAATATAAACGTTCAGTGAATACTATAACTGAAACCTATACTTTGATGTATCTATAGGTTTATTTTTTGGTTTTTTCGGTTAAAAATTCCCATAAATATATTGTTGTCTATAATGAATAGTAGAAATAAGTTATAACTAATAATTATAAAACCGTAAAGCTTTAACCCATAAATGTATCAGTAATAAATTAGAATATTATTGTTTTCATAGTATTAACAATGTGTCCTATACAGACTTATATTGTCATAAAACAAACTAATATAAATTCCAATTTTTTCCATGTCATTGATGATAAGCCAGTACCGGAAGTAGGTTAGGTACTATAAAATATTGTGTAATGTATTATAATATGCAGATTGCAGAGTACAGGAAGTATAGAATAATAATGCCTAATACGGATGCCAATAACATTACATTTAATAATTTAATGACGTTTTCATTGTTATTCTGAAAATTATAATTGTAAACAATTCGTTCATAAATAGTTCGGCTTATATTCTATAGTACCCACCTACTGGAAGTCTATGTTCCAGAGTATGAATCTCCAGAAATGTATATAATAGTTTTTTTCTGTTGCGGAAACGCAACTTAGACAGGTTCGAACAGAAAGTTTCTCGTCGTATCCAATGATTTATAATCTAATTAAAATTTAACACAACCATTACAGTGATTTACTCAATAACGAGGTACCTGCCTACTCAGGTACAGTTGACACCTATAAATGTACCTACAGCAGAGTAGTTAGTTGTTACCTATACTTCAAAACTTGGCGGCTTGTTGTAGTTTGAGAAACCCTGATTTCTAATGACCGTACCAATATTCCTCGTTTGAAACGAC